ATGAAACGAGTGTGATGATAAGTTAGAAGAAGAATGCGTGCATGCGTGTATGTGTGCGTGTGTGTGTGTGTGTGTCGCGTGTCTTCGAAAAAAATAAAAAAAAAAATTCATAATCGCTTGCTCGTTTTCGCGTACATGCGTAAAAGCATGTGTGGTGCCTCAGCATCGTTTACGAGCTCGTGTTGTTTACGTGTAAATTTGAACGCGTGAATATGCGTGTACGTGCAATTTATGTACCGTATCTATCCGAAAAAAAACGTTTTTACGAATTCGACTCGACCAATGTGCACGCGCACGTGTCCTCATCTCCACGCGTTTCGAGTTATGATTTTCTTTTTTTTTTTCAAAAAGAAAAAAGAAGAAATCAAATGTTTATTTAATTGATAATTATTATTTATTATTTATAGGATTTAATTAATAATTATTATTTATTTAGTCGATATGCAATTTTAAATAGCAAATTTTTCAGTAAATTTTTCTTTTCTCGCTTTGATTTTATATGAAGTTTACTACGCATCCCTCTAGTGGCCAAAATTGGAATCTTCTCGCGGCCATTTAAATAACTAACGCCATATTGAAACTCATCAATAGCCGTGGCTTAAAATCTTGGAATTATCATTTTCTTTTAGACGACAATTAAATTACATATTAACATATTAAATAATTTCTTTAAATTATGAACAACAACCATTGTAAAATTCGAAATATGAAAATAACGATCTACGTGTATCTTCGTACGAATGAATTTTTGTTTTGTTTAGAGGGTACCGATCGAGTTCGTGTAAATAGTGTAAAAACATCGTTGCCATTATTACCCTCTAACCTTTTTGTGATTCTCATACGAAGATATAAATATCTCGTTATTATAGTTTTTCCATTTTTTGTTTTCAACTCAAATAACGATGGGGAGTGGACACGTGTGTGTGTGTGTGGGTGTGTGTGGAAAGTGATCGAGAAAAGTAAAAAAAGAGCAAGTTCGTAAACTCGTTTTGGTTTTGGCTGTGAGACGTGACATAGTCACGATGAGACGACCATGCGGGTACAACGAGTGACCCTTTTGTGCGTCAAGTGTAGAAGATAAACGAGGGATGACGATATCACTCCCTTATTCGGGGGATGATAATGGTCCATACTTTAGAAAATGTTACACGAAGAATGTTAAAGGCGAATTTACGAGACATAAAGAAAGAAAGAGAAAGTGAGAAAGAGAGAAAGAGAGAGAGAGAGAGAGAGAGAGAAAGAGAGAACGTAATAATATTTAACAAAATGAAATTAAAATAAAAGGTTAAGGAATGTAAGAACGATCAAATTTGATTCGTTCAACGACCCTACCGGAATACAAGGGTAGAATTTCGTATAAAAAATACGCCTAAATTTATACTTACACATATTGTACATTGTACATATGTGTGTAAGTCTTTATAAAAGTATGTATGTACGTATGTATATATTATTGTCGTTATTATTATTATTACTATTATTATCATTATTATTATTATTGTTATCATTTTAAAATTAATTATTATTATTATTAGTATTATTATTGCGATAGTTATAATAATTATTTTTCTTTTATTATTATTATTATTATTATTATTATTATTGTATTAAATATTATTAACAGCATAGAGATGAACTTATATATATATATATATATTATAAATATATTATTTGTTGGGAGAGATAACAAAAAAAATATTATTATATTACATATATTTAGGATAATTTATTTGTTGATTTGGTGATATAGAAAAATACAAAAACATATATATATATATATATATATATATATATATATATATATATA